ATATATTTTATAAAATATATAATATGTATTTTATATATTATATAAAATATATAAATAATATAATATTTATTAAAATATATATTTATAATTTAATATATATATTTTATTCTTTTCTTTATAATTTCAATCTATCTCTCTCTTTATTCAGCTACTTCAACATTAATAATAATAATAATAATATAGGCTAAATTTTAGGCCCGGGCCCAGGCTCGGGCTTCGGGCTTTTTATGAGGGCCAGGCTCGGGCTCGGGCCTTAAAAAAATTTGTTAATACATAGTAAAAGCCTGGCCCGAGCCCGGCCCGGCCCATGAACAGGTCTAGCTACAATATTAGTAGACCTAGGGATATAGTTAACGGTAGTAAAAGATTGAAAACACTTTATACAATACATGACCTGGTCCAACACACCAAAAGTAGGGGTGTCAATCGACCGGTTTCGGATTGGATCCAATCCGATCTAAACTTTATTAAATCGGATTTGGATGGTCCATTATAATTATTGGGTTGGGCCAATCTAAAATAAATTGGTTCATATTCTTATTGAATTGGACCTAAACCAAATTTTCAATAATCTGATCATGAGGTCAAGCCCTCCAATTTGAAATCGATCAAAACTAAAAACGACATAAAATCACTTTTACGAAAACACAACACTTTTATAAAAGGAGTTTTATGAAAAGTACTTTTACGAAGGCACTTTTGCAGAAACAGTTTTATAAAAGCACTTTTACGAAAGCACTTTAATAAAAACACTTTTACAAAAGCATTTTTGTAAAAGTACTTTTACACGAAACCACTTTTATGAAATCACTTTTACAAAAGTACTTTTATGGAAGTACTTTTATGAAAACACTTTTATGGAAGTGCTTTTATAAAAGAACTTTTATGAAAGCACTTTTATAAAAGCACTTTTATGGAAGTACTTCTATAAAATCACTTTTACGAAATCACTTTTATGAAAGAAATTTTACGAAAGCACTTTTATGAAAGAACTTTTACGAAAGCACTTTTACAAAAGTATTTTTACAAAAAGCACTTCTACGACAATACTTTTTTCAAAGCACTTTTATAAAAGTACTTTTTGTAATTTTCATATTTTTCTTCATTTTAATATATTTTTGTAATTTTTTATATGTTCTGTTTTTTTTATATTCCATTCGGTTTGGATTGGATCCAATCCAGTCCATTTACATTTTAATGGATTGGATTGGATTTGGACTGGATTGGGTTGGGCCGAATCCAATCCAATTGACACCTATAACCAAAGGTAAACCAAGGAACAACTGAAAACTTCCCCAATAAGGCCTCTACAAGCCAATTTAGAATTAGACTGAATAAACAAACATTTCCAACCCTGATTTCTGACAAAAAATTAAGGCTTGTAGAATTCTCCCAATTCAACATCCAAAACTATGCTTAACAGCTCAAAAAAAAAAAAAAAAACTCAACATTGCATTTTCTTTCTTTTGGGTAGGGATAATGGGAGAAGATGATATTCCTTCTCTCCATGCTGTGTAGAAGGGCAAACTATGACTTTAAAAAATGGGAAAATTCTCGATCAGTATTCTATACTTTGGCTCAAGTGACAATTTGGTCCCCGAATTTTAAAATGCGACAATCCAGTACCTGAACTTTCAAAATGTGACAATCCAGTACCTGTCGTTAACCAGTCTGTTAATCAACCGTTAAGTGACATTTGAAAAGTCAAAAATGTCCTTCGAATGCCATCTGATTCTCTTTATCAACCATCCAAATGTTGACAAAAAACTAAACAGTCCCAAATCCTAGCCTCTTCTATTCAAAAAAGTTGGCGACTGTTTAGAATAATCTAGAATTTGGGACTGTTCATTTTATTGTCAATGTTTGGATGGTTGTTAAAGAGAATTAGATGGCATTCTTAGGGCATTTTTGACTTTTCAAATGTCACTTAACGGCTAATTAATGGACTAGTTAATGGTAAGTACTAGATTGTTACACTTTGAAAGTTCGGGTACTAGATTATTACATTTTGAAAGTTCGGGTACTGAACTGTCACATTTTAAAGTTCGGGGACCAAATTGTCACTCAAGCCAAAATACAGGGTACTAATAAGGAACTGTCACATTTTCAGGGGAAATTCCCCTGAAAAAATTTAAATGAGTTCACATTTAATGGGAAGGTATGCTTAAGTCTAGTGGGGTTACTCCACAAAGTATATTTAAGTCTAATTTTAAAAAGCTCACAGTATGTTTAAGTCAATTTATAAAAACCTAGGGTTCTTTTGCCCTATAAAAATTAAAAATTAAGAAAATTGTCTATCAATAAAATACAACTAATGGGGGGGGGGGGCGGATTGGGAATTTGGGTGTTTGAGAAAAATAGCCTGGGTTGTTTGGGAGCTTTCTCTCTTGCATGGACTCCATTCAGTCCCTTATTTGTCTTTTTTCAGCT